ACACACACACACACACACATACACACACATGCACACACACGCACACACATATTCTCACTATAAATTAACGCAATCTACTTTGCTATGCGCTACTAATACTCAACTATTTCAAGTATTTAACAAGGAAAAAGCTTCATATATGCGCTTATACGCGTCATAACATTTCACATTTCACGAAAAGTGAAAAACGTGAAATGCATGTAATATTGGTGATAAAAATTTTCGTCCTATTACTTCACGTTTTTTTTTTTTCAAACATTTTATTGAAATTAAGATATTATTACTATTTTTTTTTCGAAATAATCCACTGATTGATAATAGTTTTTTTTCTCTTTTTTCTTCTTACTTCTTTATATTATCATTACTATTAATTACTAGTTATTATTAATTGTTAATTACTAACATTATCATTAATTATTAATTATTTGTAATTATTATTATTATTATTGTTGGTTAATTTTTTTGTTTCCACATAAATAAATATAGAAAATTAAAAATGAAATTCAAATTAGCAATGGTTAATTTGTATTGTTAAATTATTTTGATTTTGCTTAAATTTAAGTTACTTCATTATTTCAGTATTGTTGAAACGCTTAGAGCCACATATACTCGCTTTATTATTGTGGTATAATGAAAGATATCAAGAATTCGGGAATGAATATTTTCACTGTTTTTCTATCCTTCTAATTTTTCGCATTTCGGATTGTTCTAGGATAATATTTTCATTCAATTTATTTAACTGATTAATTTATTTTTCATTTTTTCTGAAAATTTAATTATTATGTATGGACTGATGGAATTGTTGTCAATGCATTATGCCGTTAGCATATGCAGCTAGCGGTTTCGATACGATATCACATTTACAATATCATCATCAAAAGCATCTACAACATTCCAACGCTTTATTATTAACTTCGGAACAAAATTCATCTGGTATTCCGCAAAATATTAGTGAAAATCTATCATTATCAACATTATCATCACCTATCATTTATCATAACCATCAACATTATCAATCACAACAACAACAACAACAACAACAACAACAACAACAACAACAACAACAACAACAACAAATCGTGCAGCTACAACAACAACAACAACAAATCGTGCAGCTACAACAACAACAACAACAACATTTTTCAACGTCGATCAAATCATATTCCAGTATATCAGATGCTTTATTATTAGCATTACGTCGAAGACCTGCTGCGCGTTTATTTCGCGCTTTATTCCAATATATTCCAATACGTGATTCACCGAATGAGAATCCGCAATTGGAATTACCACTTCAAGTATGTAAATTCTTTTATAGTAAATAAGTGTTTATCATACTCTTTCCGTTAGTGATTAATTGATTAATGTATTAAGTGAGAGAAAAATTTAGATGATAATTTATCTATTTTTTCCGCAAAAATCAATAATTCATTGATATTTCATTTAAATGTTATTGTATTAAAGTTTAGTGCAAAAAAAAAAAATGATGAAGTAATTTTTGGGAGAATTAGCTAACGTCATAAGATGAAGAATTGATATATAAGAGATTAGCTATATATTATCTTATTATTATTTATTGATAGTTAATTTTTCTTTAAATGAATTTAATCATATTCTTTTTGCTGGGGATTTTTTTTTTCCACTATCACTAATTCAATTAAATATTTTCATTGTGTCATGAATAACAAAATGTTATTTTGCTTATTTTAAATTACATGTAAAAATTTTTCTTTTGTTGTGAATCGGATAAATATACATACGAAAAATATTGCGTTGAAATATTTTAAAAGTCACAAAACCAATAACGGAAAAGAAAATAGTTTGGCAAATATGGAATCATGAAATCTTGAAAGTACAACATTCAGTGTTATTTTTAGGATTAGAAAATGAATTTAATCGATACTAACCGGTAAAATCCTTTGTTAAAAAAAAAAAAAATAATTCCATTTTTATCTCATCGATAGAAGTTTTTGTTGATACCTTAATGTTCATACTAAAAATACCTAAATTTCTTTCATAATTGCATTTTTGATATTTCATAATTCCATTTAGATGCTCAATCAAAAAGTGTTAACATGAAAGAGAAGAAACTGAAGTACTAATTAAATGAAATACTATCGATATTGGTTCATGATAATGTTAAAATATATATGATAATGTTAAGATAAGCGAATTTATTTCGAATAATCCATGTAATCAAAGTGATAAATCTAACTTTTAATGCCAGTCGATTACTTTGATTACGAAAAATTATTTGAATTTGAAAGGAAGAAAAAGAAGTGAAATTTGACACTTATTATTGAATTATTCGTATACTCATGGTGCTATTAATATGCTAATGAATGCATACTGCACTATTGTATTTTTCATCACCAAATTTGATAAATATAATCTTTAGACTTCTCTGTCTTTCGTTCAAAGTTCATATCCCTTTCAAAATATTTCATCATCTTTAGAAAATAAATCATAACTTTTTTTTCATTTTCCCATGCTTGCTATAATTCTTCATTTTTTAA